GATAATAAGACACACAGCAAGGACAGAGTAATGATGTGTGCATAAATAGAATTTGGATGAAAAAGAAAGATAAAGTAACAATATTACCAAGTACCTAGTATATGCCAAAATTTGTGCTAGGTAATTTGTATATCTTATCTTGGCTATTCCTTATAGCAATCCAAAATACCATTAAACTGATTTTATATATGGAAAAATAAGATTATCTCATTAGGTTGACACAGCTGGTCAGTAGAACAAGCAGTCTTTGACATTAAGGACTGTCTGCCAACCACACCTGTGCTCTTGCTTATATACATACTACCACATTCTGCAGAAACTTCAACAGAACCACTGTGTTTTAAAATTAAGAAGTTAGTTATGACTACCGTGGGGAAAGTTGAAGTTCATGTTTGATGAAAGCAAGAACAAAATATGTGATAAAAAAACACTGCCAAATTCTTCAAAAAATGAATTTCAGATCCTCAGTAAAATGAATGATTAATCAAACAACGAATATCTATTGCTAAGTTGAACACAATCCATAGAATTTTGAGAGCGAATACATAACAAATTACATTCCTGTCATCAAGATGACCAAAGGCAGAGAGAAAAAAAGAAAATAATAATGTCAGCGATAGAGAAGTTAGAAAGAAAGATTTGTTCCTAAATAGCTGAGCACATTGCTAAGCCACAGTTGCTCTCAGACACAAGTGGACACTACTCAGCTTAAAACATTATCACTATCAATGATGGATGTGTTAGTTCAACTGAGGAAATAATAGTCAGCAATGGCACCACTAAGTATGAGAAACAGCAGTGTATAATAACCATTAAACATTTATATTACTACTACTCTTAACAATGCTCCAAGGTAGACTATCATCGTCTTCTTTGTTTTGTAGATAAAAAAATGCTAAAACATATTTACAAAGTCAGCTCTGTCCAGATTAGGTTAAGTAGACATCACAGGACCATTTGTTGCTTAGATTACTCCTTTCCCTAAGCTCTGTCAATGTGAGACACACCTGTAAGACTGTTGAGAAGCTAGTCCATGCAGCTGTCTGACCAGTAAAGCCAATCATAACAATAGAGAGGGCATTTGCAAAAGCAAACATACTCACAAACTGGTACAAACACAGCTTCATTATTACTAACATGTGGTATCATCTATACCAGCAAGAGTACAGGTGTGGTTGGCAGACAGGTATCAATAAAAAACAAATTAGCAAGGTAGAAGACATACCAAAGATCAAAATTTCTATCATTCTAAGTAGTCAGCAAACTGTTCAATATCATTTTTTTATGTAGAGAATTCTCCCCACCAGTAGTCACTGTCAAATTTCTGTGTACATTCCGTCCTGTTCCACTGATCTGTTTATGGGGTCAGCACCACATTGTTTTCATTACAACATCTTCAGAATATGTCTGAATACTTGTTACTGCATGACTAATCCTTGTCTTTTTCAGTCAGGAGATATTAGTGAGCTTCTTTGACTTTTCAGCAATTATATATTACATATCTGCACTAAACTCTTAAGACAGAGGATTGCGGTTTGGACTTCAGCATTTATTATTTTTTTTTAAGTTTCTGAGAGAAAGAAAGAGAGGGCACACATGAACAAGTGTGGGAGGGGCAGAGGGAGAAGGAAGGAGAGAATCTTAGGCGGGCTCCACACGCAGTACAAAGCTTGAAATGGGGCTTGATCTCACAACAGTGAGATCATGACCTGAGCCGAAATCAAGAGTCAGACGGTTAACCAACTGAGTCACCCTCTTTCCTTTTGAAGCAAACTGTATTGTGTTCTTAATTAAGTATAACCATCCAGAATACATATGTGATGTTTTCCTGCTCTGGGGAAACCATTCTAAACATTTATAAAAGAAAGAAAATAAAAGCCAGAAAGATCTGACTACATCAACTCTATCAACCTATCAACACCTGTAACTATAGATTCTGCCTCTTCCTATGAAAATGGGCTCCTAAGGCGTAGGTGCTCCTAAGTGTCCCTTTGCATGGGATCCCAAAACATCTAAATGGCTTAAGAGCTAACTTTTTTTTCTTGCACCATCAATTTTTACTCATGGTTCGTGTTCATCATATATAATATACTGTGATAGCTCCCAAATAACTCATGTCCTCTTCCAGGTATCATTATTTCTCCCTAATAAAGTAAAAGTCTTCAAAAGAACTTATATATTTTTCTCCATTTCCTCATCATCCATTCTCTTTTAAACCCACTCCAAGCAACCCTGAGTTCCCATCAGTATACTAAAACCTCTCTTATCATGTCAGTGATCACTAGGTTTGCCAAATTCAATGGACAATTCAGTCATTATTTTACTTGAATTCTTTCTATCTTAATGGCTGTTCCTCTCTCTCCCTTACTGGCTCCTCATCCTCTTCATTATCTCTAAAAATTAAGGTGCCCGGCGATGGGTCCGTGGCTCTCTTCCTTTCTCTAATTATATTCATTCCCCAGAGGTTTCATCTGATTGCATGTTTTCTAAAGATCCAGAATGCAAATGTCTGCTCTAATGCCCATCTGGGTGTCTACTGAGTATCTCAAACTTGATCAGATTCAAAACAAAACTCTTGATTCCAGCACATACACTCATCACACCTAGAGGTGCTTCAATAAGGCTCCTCATCTTAAGATGATTTTTGGTCAAGCCAAAAATCGTAGAGTCAGCTACGATTTTTCTTTCCCTTATGACCTACATCCAATCCACCAATAGTTCTATTAACTCCATCTTCCAAAAATATCCAGAAGCCAACCACTTCTCATCTCCTCCCCCACTACCACTAGACTTAACCACCATCACTCTCAACTGGACTATTGCAATAGTTTCTTAACTTGCCTCCTTAAGTCCACACTTCCTCACTAGTTTATCTCCACAGAATAACCAGTGATCTTTCAAAATATAAACCGGAACATGCAGCTCCCTGCTTGAAAATCCTCTAATGGCTTCCCACACTGCTTAAGAGTAATACACAATCTCCTTGTGGATAATATACAAGGTTCTAAATGACCTGGACCCCCCCCAGATTCTCTGACATCACCACCTACTTCTATCCTCTCAGATCACTCCAATGATCCTCATTGAACTTCTTGTTCCTCAAACATTTAAGCTTGTTTGCATCTTAGGGTCTCTTTCCCTATGCCTATGAGACACTTCGTATAGAAATTTACATGATCTGTTCCCTCACTTTTTAGGATCTTGCTCAAATATCTCAAAGAGGCCTTCTCTGACTTAACATATAGTATAATACTGATTTCAGGAATAGAATTTAGTGACTCATTACTTATATATAACATCCAGTGTTAATCTCAACAAGTGCCCTCCTTAATGCCCATCAAACATTTAGCCCATCCCTCTCCCTCCCTCCCTCCATCAACCCTCAGTTTGTTCTCTGTATTTAAGAGTCTCTCATGGTTTGTCTCCCTCTCTGCTTTTATCTTATTTTTGCTTCCCTTCCCCTATGTTCATATGTTTTCTTAAATTCCACATATGAGTGAAATCATATATTTGTCTTTCTCTGACTAACTTAATTTCGCTTAGCATAATACACTCTAGTTCCATCCACACTGTTACAAATGGCAAGATTTCATTTTTTTGGATTATGGAGTAATATTCCATTGTGTGGAATGGAATTCCATCGTTTATTAAAATATATGGATTTTTAAAAAATAACCACAAGGCATAGAAAAAAGACCAGAAATAGATCAAGTTATATGTTTATTTCTAAATAGTATTTCATTTTTCTATTTTATTTACAACTTTATACTTTCTCAAATATTTTTTAATATTTATTTAATTTTTGAGAGAGAGTATGTGCTAGTGGGGGAGGGCCATAGAGAGACACAGACAGAGGATCTGAAGTGGGCTCTGAGCTGACAGCAGAGAGCCTGATGTGGGGCTTGACTCACAAGCCCTGAGATCATGACTTGAGTTACAGTCAGATGCTTAACTGACGGAGCACCCAGGTGTCCCACAAATATTTTTATATCATGTGTCTTTCTTTTTCAGTTAGGGGAAATATTACTAAAAATACATCTGTGCATATACATCTTATCCCGTGTGTGGACAAACTGGCAGGCAAAATTACTCACATATTTATTAAACATTAATATATAAAACACTACTGTGTGACAAATCCTATATTAGGAAAGGTAAACCACATTTGAAAATAGCACAGTTGTTAGCCTTAAGAAATTAAAATCCTGTGAGGTATGCAGGAGAATGGACATTTTAATAAAATATGTGACATAAGTCTATACAGAGCATAATGCACCAAAAGGAGGACTTTAGGAAATACTTTAAAAAATATTACAACCCAAGTACTGAACAATCAGAAATATTGATTCTTTGCCCTACTGCTCCTACTACTGTCTTCCTATATCCTCCTTAAAAAGCATTTATGTACAAAATCCACTAAATATTTTTTCTTCAAAGAAACAAATCTGACTCTAAGAAGAAATTTTAGATAACTTATCTGCTAACAAACTGACATAATTCTAATTGCATATCTTCGTTTGGTATCTGATTGGTTGAATCTTCTGTAATAAACAACTAACTATTAAGGGCCCACTATGCTATTAGTCCTATTCTAATCACTGGAAGAAGTAGGAACATGGCTCTGCCCAGAGTCCTAAAGCCTTATTAATGCCTACTCTTAAAATCAGTACCATAAAAGTGTCAGGAATACAGACACACAAGTATAGAAATGGACTTCTAACTGATCTGGTTTTCTCATTTGTATGTGAAGCTCTACCATATCACAGCCTAAAGGTACCCAATACAGACATTGAGATGGTGAAAGCATTTGGCCACATGGTAACAGTGATAATTATAAGTTTATAAGGAGGATTTCAAGGTGGAAATCCAGACCCAAATTAGATTTGTTCACTCAATATTCACTTGTCTCCATACTAAGAAGGTGGTTCACAAAGACAACAGGATAAATTGAACACAAGGTGTCCTTTTTTTGTTTTTAAACAAATGAAAACTAGACTCACTTGTTCTAAAGAAGATACGCAGCTTGCATTTATCGGGGATATTATTTTCTTTGAAAAATGCCCCAGTTACCAGTAGTATTCTGTTAATGAGTTCCTGCCTGTTGAGAAAAAAATGATCTGCTGAATTTAAAGTGTTTTTCATCTGAAAAGCATTCTAACATTTTTAATACGAACCATTCATTAAAGAAGCACACTTGCATTATAGCTCTGAGTGGTGATATTTGGACTTCTGGCAACATGACATTATTAAATATGAAACATTTGTGAATGCCAATGATGTTCTGGGGCTTGAGTAGCTAAATAAGAAATTTATATGGCGAGGAAAGCACTAGATGATTTTCCTTAAACTTTCAATTCTTCACTTGAGTAGAATTACACAAGTCCAGGTTAACAGAAATAACCACAGAAATGAATACTATTTTATATGAAATAATTCTGAAGGTGACACTGAGAATTTTCAAATGGTAGTGATTTCACATGATATATATTCTGACTAAAAGTTTTGTTTGACTTGTTACAGAGGCTTTTGTTTTTCTTAGCATCATCAATATAAAACATTTCTGAAATGGAAAATGATCACCATCTGGAGTTCTTCCATTAAACAGGGAGCTCATGACAGCGTATCAGGTCAGTAATTTGTGGGATTATTGTCTCCCTTTGTGAGCTTTCTCAATTTAACAGAGAAAAAATTAAGGCTAAAAATTAAGTGACAAAAAATTGCAGAAAATCTTAATCATTTATCATTTACTTCCATTTAAAGCTACTGTATTAGTTTACTTTTGAGTCTCCATCTTAGTTGCCAGAGTATGACAATCCTCGTTTTGAATAAATTAGCCATTACTACGTAGTGAGTCCCAATCTCAGTGTAGAAACAGTTTTCTGTTCACCTGAGACCAAATTCAACCTAAAAATGAAGCTGAACAGAAGTCTAGAACTATAGTTCCTTTTTCAATTGTGTTTCCCAAGAATATTCTTCTTGTTTAAAAAGATAAGATGGTATTTTGAGGACTTCTGTGGAACCCTTTAACAACAACAAAATAAAAAAACAAAGGATTGAATTGTTAATCCTTTTTGGGAGAATAAAGCAACAATCAAAGAGTTTTCAATTCTAAGCAAATCAGTTTGATAGAAAAGTGTTTAATCTGTTTAGAAGCTGCTTTCTGGGGGCACCTGGGTGGCTCAGTCAGTTAAGCATCTGACTTCGGGTTGGGTCGTGATCTCACTGATAGTGAGTTTGAGCCCTGCATCCGGCTCTGTGCTCATAGCTCAGAGCCTGGAGCCTGGTTCGGATTCTGTGTCTCCCTCGGTTTCTGTCCCTCCCCCTCTCACACACTCTCTCTCTCTCAAAAATAAATAAACATAAAAAATACAATAAAGTAAAAAAAGAAGCTGCTTTCTCTACTCATTTTTAAGCTCCTAAGAAAACTTTGTTTAGTTGGAGATAATTTTTTAAGTGTAACTCATATAAATGAGGATTATTATTTTTATATGATTTAAAATTATTCCAGGCTTACTGAGTTATAATTGACAAATGAAATTGTTAGCTATTTAAAACATGCAATGTGGTGATTTGATATACTCATACATTGTGAAAGAACTCAAAATTCTCAATATCGAGTTAATGAGCACACCCGTCAATTCACATATTTCTTTTCCTTTTCTTTTGGTGAGAACATTTAAATTCTGCTCTCAAAGCAAATTTCAGTTATACAATACAGTATTAGCAAAAATAGTCACATGTTATACATTAGATCCTTAGACCTTCTTCATCTTACAACTGAAAGCTTATACCCTCTCCAACTTCTCCCTATTTCCCACATTCCCCAGCCCTTGGCAACCACCTCTGCACTCTATGAGTTCAATTTTTTCTTTTTAGTCCTACATGTAAGGATGGCATTCAGTATTTGTCTTTCTCTGTCTGGCTTGTTTCAGTTAGTATAATGCTTTCCCAGCTTATCAACGTTGTTGAAAATGGCAAGATTTCCTCTTTCTTTCTTTTAAGGCTGAATAATATTCCATTGTATGTGTGTTCACACATATACATACATATATATATGCTATTTTCTTTATTCATTTACCTGTCAACATGTCAAACATAAGCTGTTTCCATACCTTGGCTACCACCAATAATACTGCAGTGAACATGACAACAGAGATATTTCTTTGAGATAATAATTTCATTTCCTTTGGATATATACCCAGAAGCAAGACTGCTGTATCATGTGGTATTTCATTTTTAATTTCTTGAAATACCTCCCTACTGTTTTTCATAGTGGCTGTAACAGTTTACATCCCCACTAACAGTGCACAAGGGTTCCTTTTTCTCCAAATCCTTATTGGCATTTGTTATCTCTTGTCTTTTTAATAACAGGTATCCTAGGTAATATCTTATTTGTGGTTTTGATTTGCATTTACCGGATAATTAGTGATGCTGAGCACCTTTTCACATACCTGTTGGACATCTGTATGTCTTATTTGGAAAAATGTCTATTCTGGTTCTCTGCCCATTTTTTAATCAGGTTGTTTCTTTTGTATTGAGTTTTATGAATTCCTTATATATTTTGGATATTAATTCCTTACCCAGATATGTGGTTTGCAAATAGTTTTCTCCCATTTCATAGGATGCCTTTTCATTTGTTGGTTTATGAGCTGTATGGGAACATTTTAGTTTGATATAGTCTCATTTGCATTTTTTTTTTTGCTTTTGTTGCCTTTTCTTTTTGTGTCAAATCTAAAAAATCATTGCTAAGACAAGACCAATATCAAGAAGTTTACCTTTACAATTTCTCTTGAGTTTTATAGTTTCAGATTATACAATCAAGTATTTAACTCAGTTTGAGTTAATTTTTATTTATGGTGTGAGACAGAAGTCGAGTTTCATTCTTTTGAATGTGGCTAACTAGTTTTCCCAACACCATTTATAGAAGACACTATCTTTTCCCCATTGTTTATCCTTGGCTCCTTTGTCAAACTTAATTGATCAAATATGCACGGGTTTATTTTGGGGCTCTATATTCTGTTCCATTGATCTACATTACCTGATTTTATAGCAATACCATACTGTTTTGATTACTATAGTTTTGTAATATAGCTTAAAAGCAGGGAGTGTGATGCTTCCAGCTTAGTTCTTTCTCAAGATTGCTTTGGCTATCTGAGATCTTCTGTGGTTCTATACAGATTATAGGATTTTTTTTTCTATATATGTGAAAAATGCCATTAGAATTTTACAAGGATTGCATTGGATCTGTCGATCACTTTGGGTAGTATGAACTACCCAAAGAATTGGTAGTAATTCTTCCAATTGATAAGTATGAAATGTTAAGGACATTAGCATTATTGTACAATTGGATTTATATTTTTTTAAAAAAAAATTTTTTTTTTTAAGGTTTTTATTTATTTCTAGGAGAGAGAGAGACAGCATGAGCAGGGGAGGGTCAGAGAGAGAGGGAGTCACAGACTGAAACAGGCTCCAGGCTCTGAGCTGGCAGTCAGCACAGAGCCCGACGCGGGGCCCGAACCCATGAACCGTGAGATCATGACCTAAGCGAAAGTCGGACGCTCAACCGACTAAGCCACCCAGGCGCCCCGGATTTATATTTTTAAAAGATTATGTGGGACTACTAATCAGAAAAGTATAAAGCTAGAAGCAAAACATCTACTTAGGAAACTCTAAAGAAATCTACAAAAATATATGATGAAGGCCTAAACTAGGGTGGTTATGATGGTAACAAGGAAATGGCAGATTTGTGACATAAGAACAACAGATTTTACTGGCATGTGGCTGAGAAAGAAATCTAGAATGACCTCAGGTCTTTGGCTTGGTCACTTGATGGAGAGCAATGGCTTTGATTTCATAAAAAATCCACAAATTTGGGGAAGGATAATGATGAGTACTATTTTGGGCATATGTGTTTAGTCATTCAATGAGAGCTTTCCAGTAGACAGCCGGGTATGGAGTTCAGAAAACAGGTATAACTGGGTGACATAAATGTGTACATCAGTGTTAGATGAAGCCATTAGAAGAGATGAGATCAAACAGCAAGGAAGTGTAGGCTGAAAGAAGATGAATGTAGCTATAAGGAACCACACCATTTATAAGGTAGACAGAGAAAGAAAGGTCTTGAAAGAAAACTAAGGACAGAGAGACAGATGGGAAACTAGGAGGGATGAAGATCACAGAAGCCAAGGTCAAGAAGGCTTTAAAAAGAAGAAAAGGTCATAGTGCTGAATATCACAAAGAGGTCAAGGAAAGGAAAGATTAGGGGCAAAAAAACAGAATAAAATGTGTCCACCTGATTTGGTTGCTACTGACCTTAACAAGAGAAATTTTAATAAATTGGTGTTGAATGGAAATCAAATTGAAGCAGGATAAGAGAATGGCAATGAGAAAGACAATAAGTAAAAATAAATATTTTAAAAAGACCTATTGTTAAAAAGACATGGTACAACTTCTAGAAGGGATGCAGAATAGAGGCAACTATATTCTGTTCAGTAGCAAAAGTTCATGAAACATGTTGGTGGCACCACTATGGTAAGAATCTGGTGTGCCATTTCCTAGCTCAGTCTTTCTTCCATTCATTCATTCATTCATTCATTTATTCATTTATTGTTTTGGGGAGAAAGAGAGAACAAGAATTTTAGGTAGGCTCCATGCTCAGTGCAGAGTTGGAGGTGGGGCTCAATCCCATGACCCTGGTATCATGACCTCAGCCGAAATCAAGAGTCAGACCAAGGCACTCAGGTGCCCCCTTACTCCTATTAACATACAGAAACATTATCCAGTTCAAGAATGACACAACCCTGAGAAAATGTATCTAGTTCATAGGGTTGTGAGGCAACTTGTAGCATATCAGATGATGATATTCAAATAGTCATAAAAAGCAATACAAATATTGGTTTCTTAATCAACCTCCTTTATTTCCTCATTTCTCTATTTTTGTCATTCACCACCCAGGCTCAAAACAGACAAATAACTTTGGACTTTCCACTCTCTGGTGCTTGCTCAGAGCCAGATAAGCATAAGAGATGAAGACTCCCCATCTCTAGTCACTAAGTAGGGCAAATCTGGCATTCCTCTATAGT